TTATTGCAGTAACATTGTATAAATTTCAGGCGTACATCATTATACTTCTATTTCTGCATAGATTACATCATGTTCACCACCCAAATACTAATTACAACCCGACACCACACACATGTGCCAAATTATCCCTTTTGCCCTCCCCCCTCCCGCCTTCCCCTCTGGTAACAACCAATCTAATCTCTGTCTCTATGTGTTTGTTTATTGTTGTTATTAGCTACTACTTAATGAAGGAAATCATACGGTATTTGACCTCCCTCTGACTTATTTCGCTTTGAATAATACCTGAAATGTCCATCCATGTTGTGACAAATGGCTGGATTTCATCATTTCTTATGGCTGAGTAATATTCCATTGTGTATATATGTCACATCTTCTTTATCCATTCGTCCCTTGATGGGCACTTAAGTTGCTTTGAGTTTTCAGGAGCCCACCTGGAGCCTGGGTTTTCTGTAGCTGTGTCTCCAGCTGAGGAGTTGCCTGGGGCTGTGGGAGTTGGCCCACACTGTGTTTTTCTGAGATTCTAGCTTTGCTGGAGTCCACCAGGAACCTGGTGCTGTGGGAGCTGCCAGGGACCATGGGAACCAGTAGGCACTACATTGGGTTGGAAGCTTTGGTCCTGGGAGCCTGCCAGTTGTCTCAGGATATAGGAGGCACCTGGGGCCATGAGAGTCAGCTTCATGCTGAGGTGAGCCAGTGGTGGAGTCTGCAGTGAAATTGAACTCTCTTTCCATGAGTAGGGTGTTTCTTTATATGCTGGGCTGCCCAGTTTTGGGAGAGGTTTTGAAGGTGATGGGAGCTTACATTTCTATCCTCTTCAATACATATTTTCTTGTTTCTCTGTTCCATTCTGGTGCTATAATCCCTCACATGGAATCTTTATCTCTTGTGAAGGTATTTTTGTGCATGGATATTTGTTCAAATTGATGTTTCTGGAAGGGTACAGGTACTAGAAATTCCTATGTCACCAACTTGATGATGTCACTGTCTGTCTAAGCTCCATTGTTTCTAATGAGAACTCAGCTGTTAATCTAATTGTAGTTTCATTTTTCATGATGAGTTCTTTTTCTCATAATGCTTACAAAATTCTTTGTGTTTGTTAACATTTTGGCTATGATATTTCTGGTGTGCATCTCTTAGTTTATCCCTCTTGGAATTTATTGATCTTCTTGGATGTATATGTTAAATTTTCATCAAATTTCAGAAGCTTTCAGCCATTGATTCTTCAAACATTCTTCTACCCTTCCTCTCTCTACTCTCCTCTGGTACCTCAATTTTATGTCTGTTGTTGTGCTTAATGGTGTTCCACATTTGTCTGTGTCTCTTTAATTTTTCTTCATTCTTTTTCTCTATGTTCTTCATATTAGGTCGTCTCTATCATCAATTGTGTTTATATTTTCTTCTTCTAGCTCAAATCTACTCTTGAGCTTCTCTAGTCAATTTTTCTTTTCAGTTATTGTACATTTCATCTCCACTATTTCCATTTACTTCTTTTTTATAACCTTTTCCTATTTCTTTATTGATATTCTCTAATAGCTCAGGATTTGTTGTCATACCAACCTTTAATTATTTAGAGATGGTTTTCTTTTGTGTGTGTGTGGTAAGGAAGATTGTCCCTAAGCTAATATCTGTATCCAGTCTTCCTCTTTTTGCTTGAGGAAGATTGTCCCTGAGCTAACATCTGTGCCAATCCTCCTCCACTCTACACTTGGGATGCTGCCACAGCATGGCTTGATGAGAGGTGTGCAGGTCCATGCGTGAGATCCAAACCCAGGAACCCCAGGCTGCTGAAGTGGAGCACACAAACCCAACCACTATGCCAGTGGGCTGGCCTCTAGACTTTATTATTTTTTTTAGAAAGAATACATTCTAAAATAACAATAAAAAGTATAGTATAGTAAATACATAAACCAGTAAAGTATTTCTTTATTATTGTTATAAGTATTATGTACTGTACATAATCATACATGATATATTTTTATACGACTGGCAGCACAGTAGGTTTGTTTCTACCAGCATCACCACAAACACTTGAGTAATATGTTGTGTTATGACATTAAGATAACTACACCATAACTAGGTGATAGGAATTTTTAAGCTCCATTATAAACTTATGGGACCACAATCATACATGCGGTCTGTCATTGAAAGAAATGTCATTATGTGATACGTGACTGTACTGGCCTCATAGAATGAGATACTGAGCGTTCCCTCATCCTCTATTTCTTGGAATAGTTTGTGAATTATTTATGATAATTCTCCTTTACATGTTTGGTAAAATTCACTAATAAAGCTATCTGGTCTTCATCTTTTCTTTTTTTGTGACAAGTTTTGTGATTACCAACTCAATCCCTCAACTTGTTATAGTCCTATAAAAATTTTCTATTTCTTCTTTAGTGAGTTTTGGTAGTTTGTATCCTTCTAAAAATTTGTTCATTTTATCTAGGTTATCTATTTTCTTGGCATACAAATTTCATAGTATTTCCTTAAAATTATTTGAAATTTTGTAATATATTTAGTAATGCTCCTCTTTCATTCCTGATTTTAGTAATTGGATTCACCATTTTTTTAATACTTGGTCAATCTAACCTAAAAGTGACAATTTGTTTGATATTATCAAAGAACCAACTTTTGATTTTTTTGATTTTTTCTATTCTTTTTCTATATTTGACCCCATTTATTGCCATTCAAACCTTTGTCATTACTTTCATTCTGTTATTTATGCATTTAGTTTTCCTTTCTTGTTTTAGTTCTTTAAGATAAAAAGATAAAAAATAATTTGAGATACTTCATATTTTTTGTGTGTGTGTGAGGAAGATCAGCTCTGTGCTAACATCTGCCAATCCTCCTCTTTTTTTTTTTTTGCTGAAGAAGACTGGCCCTGGGCTAACATCTGTGCCCATCTTCCTCCAGTTTATATGGGACGCTGCCACAGCATGGCTTGACAAGCAGTGTGTTGGTGTGCACCCGGGATCTGAACCGGTGAACCCCGGGCCGCCGCAGCAGAGCACGTGCACTTAATGGCTGGCACCACCGGGCTGGCCCCAAGATCTTTCATATTTTTTAATGTAGATATTTACAGATATAAATTTCCCTCTGAGCATTGCATTCATTGTGTCCAATTAGTTTAAGTATTTTGAAGGTTTTTCTTCCATTTATCTCAAAATATTTTCTAATTTCCCTTGTTATTTTTTCATAAGCCTATTGATTATTTAGAAATGTGTTATATATTTTCCACATATATGTGAAGTTTTCAAAAATCTTTTTGTTATTGAATTATAATTTTGTTCCATGTGTTAAAAACACATATTGTCTGTGATTTCAATTTTTAAAAATTTATTGAGACTAGTTTTGTATTCTATCACAGGGTTTATCCTGGAGAATATTCTATGAGAAGACTGTGTATTCTGTGATTGAGAATTGACTGTTGGACATATATCTGTTAGGTCTATTAGTTTATAGAGTTGTTCAAGTCTTTTGTTATTTGCTGATCTTCTGTCTAGTTATCCTATCCATCAATGAAAATGGATTATTGAAATCTCCAAATATTATTGTTGAATTGCCAATTTCTCTCTTCTATTCTGTCAGATTTGCATCATGTATTTTGGGGTTCTATTGTTAGTGCATATATTTTTTAATAGACTTTATTTTTTACAGTAGTTTTAGGTTCATAGCAAAATTGTGGAATGTACAAAGAGTTTTCATATACCCACTTCTCCCCAATACAAACATCTCTCCCACTTTCAGCATCCTCCACCAGAGTGGTACAATTTTTACAATTGATGAGCCTACATTGATACCTCATTATCATCCAAAGTCCTTAGTTACATTAGGGTTCACTCTTAGTGTTGTACATTCTATGGGTTTGGATAATGTATAATGACATGTATCTAAGTTATAGTGTTATGCAGAATAGCTTTACTGCCCTAAAAATCCTCTGTGCCCTTCTTTTTATCTCTCTCTCCTCTCTAACCCCTAGCAACCACTGATCTTTTTGCTAGCTCCATAGTTTTCCTTTTTCTAGAATGTCATATTGTTGGAATCATACAATATGTAGCCTTTTCAGACTGGCTCATATCACTTAGTAATATACATTTAAGTCTTTTCTAAGACTTGTCTTTTCATGGGTTGATAGGTCATTTCTTTTTAGTGCTGAATAATATTCCATTGCCTGGATTTCCAGTTTATCCATTCACCTACTGAAGGACATCTTGATTTCTTCCTACTTTTGACATTTATGACTAAAGCTGCTATAAACATCAATATGCAGGTTTTTGTGTGGACTTACATTTTCAACTCCTTTGCAAAACACCAAGGAGAAAAATTTCTGAATCATATGGTTAGACTACGTTGATTTTTGTAAAAAACTGCCAAAATGTCTTCCAAAGTGGCTGTACCATTTTGCCTTCCCGCTAGCAATGAATGATAGTTTTTGTTGCTTCACATCCTTACTAGCATAGGATGTTGTCAGCATTCTGGATTTTGGCCATTCTAATGAGTGTATAATGCTATTTCATTGTTGTTTTAAATTGCATTTCCATGATGACATATGATGTGGAACATCTTTTCATATGCTTTCTGCAAAAATGATGAGATGTCTGTTAGGGTTTTTGTCACATTTTAAAAATGAGGTTGTTTGTTTCCTTATTCTTGAGTCATAAGAGTTATTCGTATATTTTAGATAACAGTCCTTCATCAAATATGTGTTTTGTGAACATTTACTCTCAGTCTGTGGCTTGTGTTTTAATTTTCTTTTTTTTTAAATTTTTTGTTTATTGCAAAAACATTGGTTTATAACATGGTATAAATTTCAGGTGTACATCATTATACTTCTACTTCTGCATAGATTACATCATGTTCACCACCCAAATACTAACTACAACCCATCACCACACACTTGTCCCGAATTATCCCTTTTGCCCTTCTCCCTCCCCCCTTCCCCTCTGGTAACCACCAATCCAATCTCTGTCTCTATGTGTTTGTTTGTTGTTGTTATTATCTACTACCTAATGAGGGAGATCATACGGTATTTGACCTTCTGTCTCTGACTTATTTCACTTTGCATAATACCCTCAATGTCCATCCACATTGTCACAAATGGCTGGATTTCATTGTTTCTTATGGCTGAGTAGTATTCCATTGTGTATATATACCACATTTTCTTTATCCATTCGTCCCTTGATGGGCACTTAGGTTGCTTCCAAGTCTTCGCTATTGTGAATAACGCTGCAATGAACACAGGGGTGCATGTATCTTTACACATTGGTGTTTTCAGGTTATTTGGATAAATACCCAGCAGTGGAATAGCTGGATCATATGGTAGTTCTATCTTTAATTTTTTGAGCAATCTCCATACTGTTTTCTATAGTGGCTGCACCAGTTTGCACTCCCACCAGCAGTGTGTGAGAGTTCCCTTCTCTCCACATCCTCTCCAACAAATGTTGTTTCCTGTCTTGCTAATTATAGCCATTCTGACGGGCGTGAGGTGATATCTCATTGTAGTTTTGATTTGCATTTCCCTGATAGTTAGTGATTTTGAACATCTTTTCATGTGTCTGTTGGCCATCTGTATATCTTCTTTGGAGAAATGTCTGTTCAGGTCTTTTGCCCATTTTTTAATTGGGTTGGTAGTTTTTTTGTTGTTGAGATGCATGAGTTCTTTATATATTTTGGAAATTAAGCCCTTATCAGAAGTATGGTTTGCAAATATCTTCTCCCAATTGTTAGGTTGTCTTTTCGTTTTGTTGATGGTTCCCTTTGCCGTGCAGAAGCTTTTCCGTTTGATGTAGTCCCATTTGTTTATTTTTTCTATTGTTTCTCTTGCCCGGTCAGATGTGGTGTTTGAAAAGATGTTGCTAAGACCGATGTCGAAGAGCGTACTGCCTATGTTTTCTTCCAGAAGTTTCATAGTTTCAGGTCTTACAGTCAAGTCTTTAATCCATTTGGAGTTAATTTTTGTGTATGGTGTAAGGCAAGGGTCTACTTTCATTTTTTTGCATGTGGCTATCCAGTTTTCCCAACACCATTTGTTGAAGAGACTTTCTTTTCCCCATTGTATGTTCTTGGCTCCTTTGTCAAAGATTAGCTGTCCATAGATGTGTGGGTTTATTTCTGGGCTTTCAGTTCTATTCCATTGATCTGTGTGTCTGTTTTTGTGCCAGTACCATGCTGTTTTGGTTACTATAGCTTTGTAGTATATTTTGAAATCAGGAAGTGTGATACCTCCAGCTTTGTTCTTTTTTCTCAGGATTCCTTTAGCTATGCGGGGTCTTTTGTTGTTCCATATAAATTTTAGGATTCTTTGTTCTATTTCTGTGAAAAATGTTGTTGGAACTTTGATAGGGATTGCATTGAATCTACAGATTGCTTTAGGAAGTATGGGCATCTTAACTATGTTAATTCTTCCAATCCAAGAGCACAGAATATCTTTCCATTTTTTTGTGTCTTCTTCAACTTCTTTCAGCAATGTTTTATAGTTTTTGGTCTACAGATCTTTCACCTCTGTGGTAACTACAACATAACTAGGTGATAGGAATAACAAAAAGACATAATACATACAGAAAATAAATACTAATATATATACGGATTAAAGACAAAGAACAATATTGGCAAAATTGATTAAAAAACTATGATCTAATTATGTTCGTTGTTAGTGCACATCATTTAAATAAAACGTTGTTATTAACGTGAACTTGGTTGTTAAAAAATGAAATTTTATCTGTAATCCCAAAGGCAATCACTAAGAAAACAAATCAAAAATTACAGAAATAAACCATTAGAGAATTAAAATGGTACACTAGTAAATACTTAACACTAAAGAATTCAGTATTGTGCTGTTTACAAAATATGCCATAGATTCATAGACAATGAATTTGTTAGAGAAGAAATTTTTAATTTTGATTAAATCCAGCTTATCAATTTGTTCTTTCATGGGTCATGCCTTTGAAGTTGTATCTGAAAAGTTATTGCCAAACCAAAAGTCATTTAGATGTTCTTCTAGGAATTTTATAGTATTGTGTTTTGAGTATTGTGATCTTGAGGTCTGTGATCCATTTTGAGTTAATTTTTGTGAGGAGTGTAAGAACTGTGTCTAGATCCATTTTTCTTTGCGTGTGTATGTCCAGTAGTTCTCAGCATCACTTGTTGATAATATTATTTTTGCTCCATTGGATTGCTTTTGCTCCATTGTCAAAGTTCAATTGACTATATATAGGTGGGTCTACTTTGGGGCTCTCTGTTCTGTTTTATTCATCTATTTTTCTATTCTTTCACCAATACCACACTGTCTTGATGACTGCAGCTTTCTAGTAAGTTTCGTAGTAGGGCTGTGTCAGTCCTTCAACTTTGTTCTTCTGCTTCAACATTGTGTTGGCTATTTGCTTTTTGCTTCTCCCTATAAACTTTACAATTAGTTTGTCAATAGCCACCAGATAACTTGCTGGGATTTTGATTCAGATTGCAGTGAATCTATAGATTAAGTTGGAAAGAGGTGATAGCTTGACAATAATGAGCCTTCCTATCCATGAACCTACAATGTTATCCATTTATTTAGTTCTTAGATTTCTTTAACCAGAGTTTTGTAGTTTTCCTCATATAGATTTTGTACATATTTTGTTAGATTTATATCTAAGCATTTAATTTTGGGAGGTGCTAATGTAAATGGTATCGTGTTTTTAATTTCAAATATCACTTTTTCATTGCTGGTATATAGCTAGAAATTGATTTTTCTATATTAATATTGTATCTTTTAACCTTGCTATACACACTTATTAATTCCAGGAGAGTTCATTATTTTATTTTTTAGCTATTTTTTCTGGTTTTCTACATAGACAGTCATGTCATCTGTGAACAAAGACAGTTTTGTTTGTTCCTTCTTAATCTATATACCATTTATTTCCTTTCTTGCCTTATTGTATTAGCTAGAACATCCAGTATGATGTTGAAAAGGAGTGGTGAGAAGAGACATACTTGTCTTGTACATGATCTTAGTTGAAAAGCTTCTAGTTTCTCACTGTTAAGTATGAGGCTAGCTATAGGATTTTTGTAAATATTTTCTTGAATTTGAGGAAGTTCTCTTCTATCCTTAGTTTACTGAGGGTTTTTATCATGAATGGTGTTGGATTTTGTCAAATGCTATCTTTGCATCTATTGATATGATCATGTGATTTTTTTCCTGTTTCTACCCTGTTGATTTGAGAGATTACATTAATTAATTTTCAAATGCTTGTGCAGCATTGTACACCTGGGGTAAATACCACTTGGCTGTGGTGTATAATTCTTTTTATAAATTGTTGGATTTAATTTGCTAATATTTTATTGAGTGTTTTTGCATCTATGTTCCTAAGAGTTATTTGTCTGTAGTTTTCTTTTCTTGTAATGTCTTTGGTTTTGGTATTAGGATAATGCTGGCTTATAGAATGAGTTAGGAAATGTTCCCTTTGTTTCTATCTTGTTGAAGAAATTGTAGAGAATTGGCATACTTTCTTAAATTTTTGGTAGAATACACCAGTGAATCCCTGTGGGCAAGGTTCTTTCTTTTTTGAAGGTTATTTATTATTGATTAAATTACATTTATTTTATGTTTACTTAGTCCTTCTCTGATGTTCTTGCTTTCTTTAGGTAGATTTGAGTTTCTGACCTATGTCATTTTCCTTCTTTCTAAAGAACTTTAACATTTCTTGCAAGTCAGATATAATGGCAAATAATTTCTTCAATTTTTATTTCAGAAATCTTTTATTTCTCATTCAATTTTTAAAGACCATTTTGCAGAGTACAGAATTATAGTTTGAGGTTGTTTCTGTCCATACTTTAAATATTTCACTCCACTCTCTTCTTACTTGAATAGTTTCTGAGAAGTCACATGTAATCCTTATCTTTGCCCTTCTATAGGTCACATGTTTGTTTTACTCTGGCTTCTTTAAGGATTGCTTTTGTATTTTATTTTTTGTAGTTTGAATATGATATGTCTAGGTGTGTTTTTTTTTTTTTTTCCATTTAATTTGTTGATGTTTTCTGAGCTTCCTGGATCTGTGGTTTGGTGTCTAACATTAGTTTTGGGGGAAATTCTCAGTCACTATTATTTCAAATATGTCTTCTTTTCCTTTTTCCCTTATCTTTCTGGTATTCTCATTATGCAGATATAACACCTTTCGTAGTTGTTGCACAGTTCTTGGATATTTTGCTCTTTTTTTCAGTCTTTTTTCTCTTTGCTTTTCAATTTTGGATGTTCCTATTGAGATATTCTCAAGCTCAGAGATTCTTTATGCAGCCATGACCAGTCTACTAATAAGCCCATCAAATGCATTCTTTATTTTTGTTACCATGTTTTTGATCTCTAGCATTTCTTTTTGGTTCTTAGATTTTTCATCTCTCTGCTTATATTTTCTGTTTATTCTTGCATGCTGTCTACTTTATTCATTAGATTCCTTAGGATATTAAACATTGTTGTTGTAAATTCCTCAGCTGATAATTCCAATATCTCTACTGCAACTGAATCTGATTCTAATGCTTTCTCTGTCTCTTCAAAATGTACTTTTTACATTTTAGTATGCCTTAGAAGTTTTTCTTGGTAGCTGGACATGATGTACTGGGGAAATGGAACTGCTGTTAATAAGAGAGGAAAACATTCTACAATTCTATAATTATATCTGAGTCTCTTAGTGAATCTATGCCTCTGGACTGTGAACTTCCTAATTCTTCTCCGTTTTTTTACCACTTTCCTCAGGTTCAATAAGATGACAGTTGGTATTTCTGTTCCCCCACATGAAAGGCTAGAGAAGGCTGGAGTTGGGTATTTCCCTTCCCCCAGGTTGACTGACTTCTGGTAAACCCCTAATAGATGGGGCTTTGGTAAAATAGTATCTCTTGAGGTCAGGCCTTTTAAGAAGAACAGAATGTATAACATTTTCCCAAATGATTCCTTCCTGCCCCCCCCTGATGGAAACAAGAGGGGATTTTTGTCTGATATTCACTTTAAGAACCTAGTCAATCTCCTAGAGGTAAAAATCACAAACATGTGGGGACCCGCTTATGACTGGGTCCATCTGTAGGTTGTTAACCCTCAGACTTAACCACACTGAACCTTTGACAATTCATTAATTACAGTTTAGGTTTTCCTATCCCAACACCGATTCCCAAGGAGGCTTCTGCTTGTGAGTTTCTGCTCCAGTAAGTTGTGTTTTTCTGTGTACACCTGCTTGTCTCTCCAATTTTTGGGACAGTGGTTTCCCCTGTGACCTCACTTCTCTTGTATTTCTAAAATGAATTGATTTTTTTAGTTTGTTCAGCTTTTTACTTGTTGTTAGGTTGGAATGACAACTATCAAGCTCCTTACATGCTGAACTGGAAACCAGAAGTTCCATATATGCTTTTCATTGTTATATCTTATACATAGATTGACAGTTTTATAATTATAATATCTTTTATTCATCTCTAGTCATAATTTTTATCTAAAAGTCTGTTATATGTGATATTAATATAGCCACCCAAACTCTTTTTGATTACAATTTGCATGGTATAACTTTTATCATCTTTTTATTTTCAAACATTTTTGTCTATGAATCTATGGCATATTTTGTAAATAGCACATAATTAGATCATAGTTTTTTTAATCAATTTTGCCGATATTATTCTTTGTGTTTAATCCATATACATTTTAGTGTTTATTTTCTGTATGTCTTATGTCTTTTTGTTATTCTTTCATCCATTACTGCATTCTTTAGTGTTAAGTATTTACTAGTGTAACATTTTAATTCTCTAATAGTTTATTTTGGAAATTTTTGATTTATTTTCTTAGTGATTGCCTTTGGGATTACAAATAAAATTTCATTTTTTAACAACCTAGTTCACATTAATACCAACAGTTTATTTAAATAATATGCAACTTTGCTCCTATATCTTTTTGTCCCATCCTGCATCTTTGTGCTACTATTGTCATACAAATCCCATTTTATACATTATATGACCATCAACACAGATCCATGCTGTTGTCTTTTAATTGAGAGGGAAGAGAAAAAGTTACAAACAATAAATATATGTGTGCCGTCTTTTATATTTACTTCTGCAGTTAACTTTACTCATGCTCCTTATTTCTTTATGTGGATTTGAGTTATGTCTTGCATTCTTTTATTTCATTTTAAAAGACTCCCTTTTGGGCTGGCCTGGTCACATAGTGGTTGGGTTTGCATGCTCTGCTTTGGCATTATTGGGGTTTGTGTGTTTGGATCCCAGGCACAGACCTACACACTGCTCATCAAGCCACGCTGTGGCGGCATCCCACATACAAAATAGAGGAAGATTGGCACAGATGTTAGATCAGAGACACTCTTCCTCTAGCAAAAAGAGGAGGATTGGCAACTGATGTTATCTCAGGGCCAATCTTCGTCACACACACAATAAAAGACTCCCTTTGTTATTTCTTGTTTGGCAGGTCTCCTAGTGACAAATTCTCTCAGCTTTTGTTTATCTAGGGATGATTAATTCCTATTTTATTTTGAAGAATAGTTTTTCTATATCTAGAATTCTTAGTTGGCATGCTTTTAATTTTCTTTAACCACTTTGCATGTGTCACCCCACTGCCTTTAGGCCTTCATGATTTCTGATAGAAGTCAAGTGTTTATCTTACTGGGGATGTGTTGTACACTATGAGTCTTTTCATTCTTACTGCTTTCAAGGTTTTCTCTTACTCTTTGGCTATTGATAGTTTGATTATGATGTATCTGGGTGTAGGTCTCTTTATGTTTATTCTGCTTGGACTTTATGGAGCTTCTTGGATGTGTAGATTCATATATTTCATCAAATTTGGGAAGTTTTTGCCCATTATTTCTTCAAAATTTTGTTCTATCCTCTTTTCCTCTACCTCTGCTACTCCCATTATGTATAGTTTTGTATGCTTCATAGTGCCACACAAGCGTATTAGACTCCATTAATTTATCTTCATTCTTTTTCCTTCCTGCTCCTCACACTGTAAAATCTCAATTGACGTATCCTTAAGTTTGCTGATTATTTCTTTTTTGTTTATTGCAGTAACATTTGATTATAACATTGTATAAATTTCAGGTGTACATCATTATACTTTTATTTCTGCATGGATTACATCATGTTCTCATGTTCACCACCCAAATACTAATTACAATCCATCACCACACACATGTGCCTAATTATCCCTTTTGCCCTCCTCCCCCCCTTCCCTTCTGGTAACCACCAGTCCAATCTCTGTCTCTGTGTGTTTGTTTGTTGTTGAATTATCTACTACTTAATGAGTGAGATCATACGATATTTGACCTTCTCCCTCTGACTTATGCCTGCTCAAATCTGTTGTTGATCCCCTCTAGTGAATTTTTAATTTTAGTTATTGTACAATTTCAGAATTTCAACTTCAATTTTTTAAAAATAATTTTTATTTATTGATATTTTCTTTAGAGTGAGACGTTCACATTTTTTCCTTTAGTTCTACAATTTCCTTTATTTCTTTTAACATATTTAAAGTTGCTAATTTTCTTTGTCTTGTAAGCTTAAACCTAGATCTTCTTCATGGGCGATATATTTTTTGTTGTCTTTTGTCAAGTCTCTGGGCCATACATTCTCATTCCTTTGCATGTCTTGTATTTTTTGTTGTTGTTGAAAACTAGGCATTTAAAATAATACATTGTGGCAACTCTGAAAATCAAACTTGCCCCTTCTCAGAATTTCTTGTTGCAATTTGTTGTTATTTTTGCTTGTTTAATGTGTTTTCTAAAATATTTATGTAAAGTCCGTATTCTTTTTTGTTTGTGAACACGAAATTCTCTTCTTGGTTAGTTTATTGGTCAGCTAATGGTTGAACACAGATTTCCTTTATCACCTAGAACAAATAAGTCTCCAGTCCTTTCAGAGAGGCTCTGTGTCCTTGTTTTTACGTGCCTTCAACACTCAGCTAAGTTGTTTACAACTTTGCATTTCTTTCTTTCACTAGCTTCAGGTCAGCCAGAAATGAGAGCTGAGGATTTTCTGTCTTTCCTGAACATACGTATCAGCCTTGACATGCACAAGTCCTATGAATGTGTGTGGCTTTCTAGATTCCAGAAATATGTCAGTGCTTTTCAAAACTCATTGAAGGCATATCATTTGCCAGCTTTTCCTTTTATAATTTTGTTTAGTTTATTTTTAGCTTTAATCTCATCTGCTACCTTACACAGTCATAATGTTAAATGATAACCTCTAAATATTTTTATGAAATTCCCCATTGAAAAGGATTTTTGTACTTATCAGGTCAAATTTTGCTTCTTATCAGGTCAAATAAACACATTCTTACAAGTTGAATGTTTCAGGAAACCACTAGGCAAATCAAATAATGACAATTCTCTAGGAATAAGTCTTTGAATGAGTTCCAACTTTATTCTGCCCCCTTCAGTGGTTGCCAGGCTGATAGTTTGCATCTTAATTGAACTCTGTTGTTTTCAAGGCTATCAGGAAGCTGGAGAGAGAAGACTGGGAATAGAGTAAGTTAAAATGCTGCTAAGTTTACTGTTCTTGTTAAAATTTAGCCATTTTTCTTGAATAAACACCACAGATTTATGCAAATTTTTAATTTCCAGTGTTCCATAAAAATCTAATCGGCCAATTTTTGTCAGTTTTCTTTTTTTTTTTTTTAAGATTTTATTTATTTTATTTTTCCCCCCAAAGCCCCAGTAGATAGTTGTATGTCATAGCTGCACATCCTTCTAGTTGCTGTATGTGTGACTCGGCCTCAGGATGGACGGAGAAGTGGTGCCTCGATGCGCACCCGGGATCCGAACCCGGGCCACCAGCATTGCAGCGCGTGCACTTAACCACCAAGCCACAGGGCCGGCCCGTCAATTTTCTCATTGTTCTATGGAGGAAAGAATTTTCAGAAGTCCTCACTCTGTCTGTTATCCTAACATTACTCTCCTTTTGTTTACAAAGGACTAGTATTGCTTTTGAAACAACTCTTGGTAGGCTATTTTTTATAGATTAGACTGTATTTAAAAAAAAGCTTGAACTTAAGAGAATCCAAATTATAAAATATGCTGGCATTTGGGATTTAAGGCAAAGATTTTAAAATAAATTTGATGGAGATATTTGAGATATATTAAGAAATAGTGTTTCTGAAATTGGAATCTTAGATTTCAGAATAAAATATATAACAAGTGATATGTATAAACTTACAAGTAAAAAATAGAACTGTATTTTAAATTGAAATATTGCAGTGTAC